GCAAGCCAAAGGCTATTTGACATATTCTTGGACAAATTTCGATTGCTGGATCACCTTCGGGCTATGAAATCATACCTTCTGCTTGGTCGAGGGGACTTTGCTGACCAGTTAATGGAATCGCTCCTTACCAGTTTATCCCGTCCTGCGAATACACTATACCGTCATCATCTCACTGCCACACTAGAAGCCGCTGTTCGCTCATCCAATGCACGATTCGATCCCCAGGACGTCCTTAGGCGTCTCGACGCTCGAATGCTCGAGTATAGCCATGGAGAGATAGGATGGGACGTTTTCACTTTAGAGTATAGGGTGGACCCGCCTATCGATACAGTGATTGACCCAGAGAGTATGGAGAAATACCTAAAAATTTTCCACCATCTATGGAAGATGAAAAGGGTCGAAGGCGCGTTAGGCGCAGCATGGAATCGAGTGGCTGGAGGCGCGAAGTCATTCCTGGGACCGGAGATGGGAGGACCTCGACAGCGAAATCGCCCTCGTTCTGAGGTTTTGGAAAGGCTTGAAGGAGAGTGGCATCAAATCCGGATAGTACTCGCAGAGATGATACATTTCATGCGACAATTGCAAGCATTTTGCCAGTTGGAAGTGATCGAATGCTCATGGAAAGAGCTCATGGACTATCTTGACAAGAAAGAAGGAGATTTGGATGGACTAATACAAACACATCGGAGCTATCTCGATAGAATGGTCAAAAAAGTTCTTCTAATGAGTCCGAAAGCCGGAAAAGAGGTACGGTTGGATGTTAAACAGCCAAAACTAGACTCACACCTTTGATAGGAACATTTAGTTATACAAGTGCGAGAGCTGTTCAACAATATCCTTCAGTTCCGCGATGCAACAGTAGGTTTCCTTTCAATGAATCGTATTGTGTCAATAATCTTGGCTTCATAGGAAACACTATACAATTATTGTCTCGCAGAAGCTGCGCGTATAGATAGCGCACGTGATCATGATAGAGTATGTCGTCTCTTCCAGGGTGTCAACCAAACTGACAAGGGTTATAGGGTGTGTTCACCATGCCTGAGTCGGAGCACCTTAGTGCATCTCATCGGGCTGTCGATCAACTCCCCCGGATTCTACGGCGCGTCAAAGAGTATAGCGGCCTATTTTCTGAGCGAGCCCAAGCCATCGTGCATTCACTTCAAGTACACCAAGACTTGGATTGCA